TTATAAAATATTTCATTACTATTTTTTAAAAAACGCCAAGTCTTCGTATTACTAAACATTATTATTTTATTACATCTTGTCCTGTAGAGTTTATAAAACAAAACTGATCTTGCAGCTTAAAATGTTCTTACCTACGGTCGAGGCTCGACATGAACTCGCATTGTAAGAGATTTACGAAAATCTGTTCGGTGTTTGCTCGGAATTTATAAGTGAACTTGGTACTACAAATTTATAAGAAATTACATCTACGTGAGGAATGGTCTCTACGCAAGAGTTGTTACTTTCGATTAGTAAGCATGTAGTATATAAAATAGCTGAATATATTAATAAATTATTATTATCATCATCATCATTATCATTGCAGACTATCAAAAATGTACCACTGTTAAATACAATGCCATCAAAAACATAACTTGTAAAAAAAAAAAACAAGTCTCGCAACTCAGTTCTTCTACCGTTCTCTGTAATATGTTCTTCTATGTTGTGAGATCCATGTAATACCAAGTCGGTTATAATTTGTTCAGTCCCTACTTAAGGTTCCTTCTGTTTTAAGTTATTACATAATTAGCTAACCTAACAACAATTTAATAGTGACCATATCAATGTTAAAAATATTTTATGTTTTTAAAATAAATAGATTGACTTTGCCGTCGCAAGAAAACACAATGTATCTTACAAGTAATACATTATTATATTAAATTAGATTGCTTAGTGCGATGGCCAAGTCAATCTATATATTTAAAACGTGTAAGATTTTTAACACTCATATAGTCACTATAAAATGTTGTTAGGCTAGGTAATTACGTAATGACTTAAAACGGAAGGACCCTTCAGTAGGGACTGAATAAATTAACCGACCCTGGTATTACATATGTCTCACAACTTTTTACGTTAGAAGAAATGAGTTGCGAGACTTGTTTTTTTTTTACAAGTTCTGTTTTTGATGGCATCCCATTTCTTTTTGTAGATAAGATAGTCCTACTGTTTTTCCTTTCCGGTACCTTCTACTTCTTGAATATCAACAACGTACCTATTTACACCTATTATACATATACAGCCTACAAGTACACTGATTCATTCACTGCAAATGTAACTTTGTAATTATATATATATACATATTTATATGGGATTACAAAGTTATTTGTGCAGTTGATGTATCTAGAAAACTGGAACGAAATTATAAAATATTTTAGTTTTTCCTTGATTTATACACTAAACACTAATTGTATTCTAAATTTGAAGCTTCTATGTCTGCTAGAAGTGCCTTAGAGTTTTGATGATCGGTCAGTCAGTGAGTGACAAAATTAAGAAACTTTGACTAGTTATATTTCTTAAACTACTAGTTCAAATTGAATGAAATTTAAAATACACCATGTTTATATAATGTCTACTTGGTTACTGAATATTCAGGCTTCTAGTTTTATCCACTACGAAGTTATAGGAAGTCAAAAATGGCCTGCAGTACTTCGAGAAAAGTATGGTATGGCCGTGCCGCTTTTTTGCTAGACTTGGCGCAGACTTAGCCACCTTAAGCTGTCTCAAAAGAGGAATATTTGTTATAGTTGCCACGTTTGGTAGGCAGATTGGCAACCGCAGTTTTTTATTACTGTTTTTGTAGTTGTTATCAGGAGTATGCTGTTGTCTACCTCCTGTGTTCATTTCCCCGTGTCACCTCTTAAGACACCCACGGTTGACAAGTAATGTATTTTCTTACGCTGCCACCACACCGTGACATACATATATACCATATTGTAATAGCAAAGGCCTATATACAGTAATGAAAGAGACAGAAAAAAGAAATATATGTTTATTGCACGCCTCACAACGCACGAGTGCTTTACTCTCGACATGCCGCTATTGGACGACTTTGCAATATAAAATTGTTAGCAAGTTTCAATCAATAAAAGAGTGATGTTTTAAAAATTAAATATATTACATTATAAAGTCAGCGTATTTTTTAATAAATTGTTTTTTAGTTATATTTACAACAACAAAAAAAAACGTAGCTAAGTGCGTGTCGGGCTATGCACAATGTAGAGGTAGGGTTTCCTAATTGCCCGTCACAAAATGTTGGCTTTTTTGACAATGAACATAATAAGTGAGTTCGCTGTTTGACCGCTATAGCGCCTAAAAATGGGTCCATATAGGACGATACAGCAATTTTATACTAGCACGAAACAGCAATTTCATACTTCAACTACGAATTCAACAAATCAATTTTTATATTCTAGAATGGGAAAATTTATTTATTTAAAAGTAAAAAGTAAAGTTACAGCCTATATACGTCCCACTGCTGGGCTCAGGCCTCCCCTCATTTCTGAGAGGGTTTAGGGCAAGGAAGTGTCCGCCGCGCTGCCCAAATGCGTGTTGACGAACTTCACATGTCTTCGAAATATTTTTTTTCTTATTCTTCAGAAAATGCAAAATTTGAAAAATGAAGAATGCGGATTAAGAATGGGTGAGTTAACCGTCAAATGCCTTTTGTACGCTGATGATCAAGTCATTCTTGCGTCGTCGGCGGCCGAGTTGCAAATGATGGTTACATTAATGAACGGATCATAAAAGAAAGGGGTATGAAAGTGAACGCAAGTAAGACGAAGTTTATGGTTTTTGAAAGAGAAGAAAGTAAAACGATTTGTGAAATAAGAATAGAAAGGGAGTTGATCAAGTAGATGAGTTTGTATATTTGGGCTGCGTATTTAGCAGGGATGGGAGATATGATAAGGTTATAGAACGACGAGTGAATGCGGGAAATAGAGTAAATGGGGCCTTGCACTCTATTGTGAAGAGTCAAAATGTGTCGAAAAAGGCACGTATGGCAATTCACAATGCTGTGTTGGTCCCTACTTTAACGTATGGTAGTGAAAGTTGGGTGTGGCAGAAGAAGCACGAGAGTAGAATAAACGCAGTAGAAATGCGGTCGTTAAGGAGTATGTTAGGGCTGAATCTGAACGACAGGGTAAGAAATTGTGTAATAAGAGAATATTGTGGTTTGCAAAATGATGTTGTGACCAGGATTAAGAAAGGAATGCTTCGGTGGTTTGGTCATGTGGAAAGAATGAATGAGGAAAGAGTGACAAAGAAAATTTATGTTCCATAAGTGAATGGCAGAGTCGGAAAGTGACGTCCTAGGCGAAAATTTATCGACCAAATTGGCGATTTATTGGAAACGGGCCAAATTAGGAGTACCCTTAACCGACGAGCATGTATGCGTAGGTGTATGGATGTGAAGGAGGCGAGAGAGGTGTGTCAGGATCGTGCCAAATGGAAATCTGTAGTCTCTGCCTACCCCTCTGGGTGACAGGCGTGAGTGTTTTATTTATTTATTTATTTATTTATTATGACACATCAACAGCGTAACACCCAATACATTTATATGCAAATCTTACATAAAACAAAGGCCTGGTATGTACGCCAATAAAGACGTGTACAACATTCTCTTAAAATCTAAGACATGTTATTATAAATACGAATATTAGAAAACAAAAAAAAGCACAAAAATAGTACACAGATTATCAAAATAATTTTACAAAATTTTAAGAACCTACTTAGAGAGCAGGTACACAGATAACTTCTTTCTCTGTATTCTTCTGTATTCGGCGCAAATTTTTGATATAGGCGAATTTTTTAAGAGGTTTGTTCTACTGGCAGGGATGTAAAAGATTTTAGTATTAGGATGGCGTGGATAGTTGCATGGGATGTTAAGATTAATGCACTGAAGTAGGTTATTACAATCTACGGCACCAGAAATTATATTTTTAAAAAACAATATATTTAACAATATACGACGGTCACAAAGTGACATCATTGCGAAATGTTTGAGACGAACGTTATAGGTGTTACGGTGGGAAATGCCCGAAGAATGGAACGCAAGATGTCTAGTAAATGAACGCTGTATGCTTTCAATGCGTTGGGAATAAGTGATAAACTGAGGACCCCAAACCACCGATGCAAACTCTAGGTGACTTCGAACCAAGGCGTTATATAAAATTATTTTGGTTTTGACTGACATAAAACCTTTAGCGTTTCGTTTTAGGAAGCCAAGCATTCTTCCAGCTTTTTGGACGGTAGCGTCAATGTGAGACTTAAAATTTAATTTGCTATCCACTATCACGCCTAAATCTCGAACTTCTTTAACCTGCCCCAAGGTATCAGAGTTCATCTTATAGGAGGACATGAAAGGTATAGACTTTCTTGAGAATTTAATGTGATATGATTTTTTAGTATTAAGTATCATACCATTTAATTGACACCATGTACTAATTCTGTTTAAATCACTTTGGATGAGTTGCACGTCTACAATAGATTTTACTGTTTTGTATATTTTTAAATCGTCAGCAAAAAGACAGAATTCAGAGTTGCGTATTTCAAAAGTTATATCATTGATAAAGGCAGCAAAAAGGACTGGACCCAGATGCGATCCTTGCGGAACGCCTGAGAACGCTATATAACTTTCTGATTTGTAACCATTCACTACCACAAACTGAAGTCTTTTTGCTAAATAAGACTGGAACCATTCTAGCAAAGATCCACATACCCCATATCTTTTTTAGCTTGTTAATTAAGCGCGAGTGACAGACTTTATCGAATGCACTAGAAAAATCCATATATATATAGCATCAACTTCCTGTCCTTTGTCAATTTCTTTACAGAGATACGACATAAATGATACAAGGTTAGTTTCAATCGAATGGCCCTTCCTAAACCCATGTTGATGGTCTGATATACATGTGCTTAAGTGACGCGTAATAATTGGACATATCAAGGTTCAAACAATTTAGGAATACATGAAATAATTGAAATCGGTCTGTAGTTACTAACGTCGTTAATGACGCCTTTTTTTAAATACCGGAACGATCTTTGAATTTTTCCAAATATCAGGAAATACTCCATCACGCAAAGATTGATTGAAAATAATAGCCAGTGGTAACGCTAAGGCCGAGATACAACGTTTGACGAACACAGGGGGAATCTCATCTGGGCCAGCTCCCTTGAAAATGTCAAGCTTTTTTGACTGCACCTATAATGTCTCTTTCAGTTAATTTTACAGAATTTAAACATGAATTATTGAACATAGATACGTCACCGCCGTCGTTTGCAGCCACTTTACTAAAAACAGATGAAAATTTGTTTGCAAACATTTGGGCAATATCTGGTCCGGTGTTTGCGACCTGATCAGCTTGATACATTATAGCTGGGATATTGGATACACCATTGCGCCTGTCCTTCACAAAACGCCAAAAGCTTTTTGGATTTTTAGAAATATCGCTTTCAATTCTTTTTTTTAAAATTAAAAAGGCATTGACTACTTACATTATGAGCACGTTCGCGAAGAAGCTCGTATTCTAGTTGATCACGAGGGTTCTTATATTTCAAATATTTTAATCTTTTTCTGCTTTTCTCGGAAATTATTTTAATTAGGGAATTGCTAAACCACGAAGGAAATTTAGTTAGTTTAGGTCTTGTTTTAGGAATATAGGATGTTACGGCTATATTTAAAAAGTGGTAAAATATATTAGTCATTTCGTTAACATTTTGACATTTTTCTAGCTCCACTTGCCAGTTAATGCTCTTCAAGTAAGGTACAATATTGCCATAGTCTGCTCTAAAGTAGTTGTAACGATGGCTTATTATCGGCTTGAGGTACTCGGAAGTAAGTTTTGGGATCGATATCAAAATTGGAGGATGTTTTTGATCTACTTTGCTAAGCATACTTATAGATTTAGTGACATTTAAACAATCAACATTGGATAGAACTAGATCTAGTATTCTACCATCAACATTAGACACATCGTTCATTTGCGATAAATTATTGACAGCCATAAAGTCAATAAGAGAGAGTCCTAGTTTCGAACCATAATTTGTTGCAATACATGGGTCACTATCCGACTTACGGGACCAATCAATAAAACCTAAGTTAAAGTCGCCCAATATTATGACTTTATCTGATATATCTATGATATCAGTAGAGTTTTCTAAAAAGCTAGATAAAGTTTCAGAAGAAACAGGAGGAGGTAAGTAAACGGCACAGATAGAAATTTTTTGGAGTGTGTCGTTAGTTTTGACATCAATAGATACCGATAAATCTTCTGCATTACTTTCCCAATTTGATTTTCGAGAAGAAGGAATATTTTTAGACACTGCAACCATCACGCCTCCTCCGTCTTTCTTTGAACTCCTTGAGCATGATCTATCCTTTCTATATACAACGTAACGTTTATCTATAAATTCACTGTTCATTATATTACTATTCAACCATGTTTCAGTAAATACAATTAAGCTATAATTATTCATAAGTATATTTTTAAGAACATCCTCCGTTTTAGTCCTCAAACCTCGTACGTTTTGATAGTAAATTGTTACAGACATTTTGAAGGATAATCTATCGTAAGATTGAGATTCTAACACTAGACAATTAATTTCAAGCTTTCTTCATGTTTAATATAGATGGCATGACTCTGTTCATGTTTCCGAACAAAGATCCTACCGTCCCGCACCCAAACAAATTTGGCGCCGGTCTCTTTTGCTTTTTTTCGAGCCGCCGCATGTAGGTGCTTATTTTTCGGTGTTAAATGTTCGCTAACATATACAGGCACTCGACGTCCACCAATTCCCAAATGCTCAGAGTTTAATTTGTTATCAGGATTCTTTTTATTAAACTTTGTTACTGCTGCTAACAACTCATCGCGACGGCGTTGACTACGTAGTTTGACAATTACGGAGCGGGGTCGGTCGCTCTCCTTGTTGAGCTTCGCAATACGGGATACGTGCAAAACATCATTGTCACCGAGGGGGTTTTCAATCGCAAATCCCAGCTGCTCTATAGTTTTTAGAAGATTTTCCGATTTATGCTCTGGGATTCCATTGATTTCGACGTTAGGAGCACGCATGTTTTGCTCTATTTGCTCTATCCTCTCTGTCAAACTCCTTACCTGCGACGATAGATTGTCATTTTTCTGAATTAAACTCTGTATTACTTCGTTTCTTTCCTTCACAGTTTGCATAAGTTCGTCATATTTTTTACTAAAGAATGCTAGAGATTCGTGGAAGCCAGTCACCTGGGACGCGATATTTGTTAGGTGTTCAGAAACCAATTGCTTGATGGTGTCAGTTATCTCCTGCTTTATTATTGAACGTAACGAATCTTCTTTAATGTATGAATCGTTGGTATCTGATTTAGAGCGCTGTTTTTTTGTCCGTACAGTGATATTACTCTCCTCTTCAACATTGGTATCATCGCCAGATACCATGGGACGATATGTTGTGCGCACAGGTGTATTTGTATTATCGGATTTGGGTTGTTTACTAGAGCATTCCTGACATCTCCAATTATTTTTCCGCTCTTGATCCATAAGGTAGAAGCATTTAGGTGTTATATTAGCACAGAATAAATCGTACCCGAGATTACACGTGACACATACCATATGTTCCCTTTTTAGCAAATTGTTTTTACAGCCAGAGCACTTCTTTGTGGTAGAAGACAATTTTTAGAAAAAAATATATTAGCAAACGGAATAATATTTTAAAAAGTCTGATATTATTGAAAAAAAAATAAAAAAATAAAGGGGAAAAAGTTTGTTTGGTCGGGATCGATCTTCCGACCTTCACTCTATGAGTAATACGCTTGCACCGCTACACCACGCCGTCAACGACGATGCACTTGAATTTTAAGAATGGTTCTAACTATGGTCAAGCACTCCTTGCTACAAGATTATCACGTCTAGTGAGTCCAAAGGCCAATCTTTTGTTCTCCATGCAGTGAATAGTTTTACCAACAGAATATTTTAAAACAATTTTTTGGTTATATTCACTTGTTTACACAATAATTAGCTATAACTTTTGCACAGATTCACCAACTTTAATACACTAAACACGGTGGTATAACTCAAAGAATGATCTAAACAGTTTTTACACATTAATTAGATTAAAATCGCTCCGAATTACAATAACACGTCTATATCAACACACGCCCAACCTTCCCTATGGTCTTCAGACATGCAGGTTTCCTCACGATGTTTTCCTTCACCGCCGAGCACGTGGTAAATCAGCACTTAAATTGCAATTAAAAATTTCATTGGTGCCGGCGGAGATCGAACCCGGGTTACTCGCGTTTTGTTATATTTACAGCGAGCGTTAACCACTGAGCTACCACGGCTCTTATTTATTTGCACTTGTACAAATGATCTTTATGATGTACTCACGTCGCTTCATATAAAAGGTCCTTTGAAGATCAAAGGCATTCTCATCACTTTATGCCAGTTGAGTAAGTATGTATACGCGGTCCCCTTTTAGGTTTCACGTACTTTTACCTTAAGATAAAAGGACGACTGTTTCAATACATAGCGGTTTGAGGTTTGTATTTGGAATGCCTATAACGTTTGTGGCTGGGTGTCAACTTATTAGTTTTTTAGTTTTTGAATCTAGCTGATTTACACGAATGTAAGTACTAATTATCTTTTTAAAGAACGTTTTAATTCTAGAAATGTATTGGGATATGTCTGTTTCATTGTTTATCTATAAGTACTTTACGGATTTTACGAATATGATATCTCAGGAGATTTGTCGTAATTGTTCCGGTAACATAGACTAATATTATATTATAATGACGTCAACATGAAATAAATATAGCGACAATTAACTGACAAAAGACGGCTGCCTAAAAATAAATTAAAACGAACAAATTGATCGTGTAAAGTATCAGGCAGGTAATAATAAGCAAATTTTAAATATACACTCGTATAGAAAATATTACTTACATTAAAATATTACTACATCAAGAGCGAAAAATGATTAGATACACATTTAGTAGTAGTTTTAGGTAGTTATTTAATCGACACGACACCTATATATCGGCGCCGACAAGTTATCACGACATGTCGTTACTGGTACCACGTCTGGTCTCCACAGAATCAAAAATGTTCCTAAATACACACAGATACATGTTTGCCTAAACTGTTTAAAGTTTATTTCCATAGAAGTGAATAATGTGCGTGTTGATTTTCTATATGAGTAATAATTAATCTATATGTAATGATATATTTGGATTGTTTATAATTTATATATGCTTGTAATTAATAAAGTGTTTATTTGAATAAAACGGGCTCTCTATCATATTAAACTTTGTGGTGAAGGTCGTATAACAGTATACAGCTTTGCAATCAATTGAACCGCCTAAAGTAGGCGGAGAAGCTTTTAAATACTTGGGGTCGTTCGCTGAGCCGCGTCAGAAAAGGTTTGCGGACATAGTATTAGGATCCATCAATCAATCAATATATTATTTATTGTACACTAACACATATTAGAAAAAGACAAAATGAATATATATATATATATATATATATATATATATATATATATATATATATATATATACGCGTACAGGTACATAGTGTTAGGATAATTGTGGGTAACAAGTGATTCGACTGCTATTGATATGTGAGAAATTTTTGTATTTGAAATACAAAAACTTCTTTTTTAGGCAGTTATAATACTAAGCTTTTATGGAGCTTAGTATCATAACCGCCTATCAAACCTAAAAACGAGTACACATTTCATGTGACAGTAAGTGGGTTTCGTGTGGATAGAAATCTGTTACGATTAAGAGTCAAAATGATAAAAATTCCTCAATAACCGTTTAAAAGTGTCTTTGTTTTTCTATACCTAACTTAAAAACACAGCACAACAACTTAACTTTATACTGCTATCCGTTGACAGCGTGATGTTTCTTATCGATCTGACCCATTGGTGCTGCAGCCATAATATAGCTGCAGTAAGACACTACGTAATGTACGTAAGCACTTTTAAATCACTAACTAAACAATTCGTAAAGGGAAAACATTTATACAACCGACTTCAATATACACAGTTGGTAAAATTAAAAATGTAAAACCGACTTTAAAATAATTAAAATGAGAACATTGTCAATATATTCGAAGTCAATTAAATACGCATTATTAAGGATAATTCAAAAAGTACTGATCGTATTTTGATCTTATAAAGGACTACACTAGAAACACCAGCTTACTAATAAAAAAAGAATCACAAAAATCGGTTCACCTAGAAAAAAGTTCTGAGGTAACATACATAAAAAATCATACAATAGAATTGAGTACCCCCTCTTTTTGAAGTCGGTTAAGAAGTGATACAAGTGAAAACAAATTCTTACTTTGATCCATGTTTTACTTACAATTGTATTTGTAATTCTTAAGTAAAATATATTATTAAAATAAAGTGAAAAATTCAACGAATGTAAGATATGTATTTCTATTTGAATTCAGTACGTGAGGTTCAGTGCAAGATCACGTGAAAATCACTGTTACAGCGTGCATAAAGATATGCACACGATCCTGAAATCACTTTATAACATAAAGATGGTCGACGTAGAAAACCGATGAATAGCAGTAATATGTAAGAAAAACATGTATGCCATCAAAAACATAACTTGTAATAAAAAACAACTCCCGCAACTCAGTTCTTCTACCGTAAAAAGTTGTGAGATCCATGTAATACCAAGTCGGTTAATTTATTTAGTCCCTACTTAAGGGTCCTTCTGTTTTAAGTTTTTAGTAATATATATTATATTAAATTAGACTGCTTAGTGCGATTGCCAAGTCAATCTATATATTTAAAACATATAAGATTTTTAAAACCGCTTTTTTTCTCGACTTGGCAAGGGCACTGCCGTGCCCACAGATTCGAAAAAGATTTAAAGTAATTACATAAATCCAAACCTAAAAACTGAAGTTACAAACTAACTTCCTGTTCTTTGAATAAAACTATTATTTACGGATTTTATCGCATTTAATTACTTTAATTTGTTTTTA